CAGAGGCACTGGGAGGTTAAAATTAAAAGGCTGACAAGCTGGTGCCCAGCAACAGGAGATGGCTGGGCATATTAAAAAGAAATCTGGCCTGGCACAGTGACTCACACCCGAAATCCTAGCACTTTGGGAGGCTGAGGCAGGCCGAACACTTGAGGCCAGGAGTTTGAGAACAGCTTGGCTCACATGGTGAAATGTACTAAAAATAACAAAAATTAGCAGGCGTGGTGGCGTGCGCCTGTAGTCCCATCTACTTGGGAGGCCGAGGCACGAGAATCCCTTGAACCCAGGAGGCAGAGGTTGCAGTGAGTCAAGATCACGCTACTGCATTCCAGCCTGGGTGACAGTGAGACTGTCTCAGAAATAAAGTAACATAAAATAAAATATCCAGCGGAGAGCAATGTCCCTCCTCGAATCTCCAAGTGGAGAGCCAGAAGCCTTGGCTGGGAGGTTTGGTAGAGCCTGCGGGTCCAGGGCGCCCCAGCCACGCGGACAGGCAGGTGAGGGCGGCGGTGGACACGCCCCGGGGCTCACGCTTCTTGGCGGCGCGCTGCCAGTGGACGGAGGAGCGCGCCAGGCCGGGCACCCCCGCTAGACGCTGGGTGGCGCTGCCGGGCCGCCCCGCGCTAGACCTGTTGCGTCCAGGGCGCAACTCCGGCAGGTTTAGGGTAAAGGGGCGCTCCGCTCTCTCCGCACACCCCTGCAGCCCTGGACGCAGCACCTCCCTTTGGGGCACCCTACGCCCACCTTAACCTGAGGCTCCCATCCAAGCAGCCTCGGCGAGCCTCACCGCAACCGTGCTAGGCGCGTCGGGTGGGGCGGGAATAAAGTTTTACCAACCCAGGTTGGGGAGAGGGCTGGATGGGGAGGACCCTTCCCGCTGCAGACTTCATGGCAGGCTGCACTGTGTCCCCTCGGCTCCACGGCCGCCTCGGGGACCCTGCTTTCGGTAGGTGCCAGCCCCCGTGCCGGCAGGATGGGCTGACCTGTGTACCGCCCCCTCCCACCCCCTTCCCCATCCGCATCCCCTCCCCCGCCTCCCGCGCGCTAGGGCCCCAGCGTCTCCGGCCCCGCCCGCGCTGGGGTCGCTGCAGTCCCCGCGGCTGCCCCGGGTTCCCTGCCCAGGCGCCCCGGCCTTATTCCAGCCTGGGGAGCGCCTCTGGAGGGGGAACACCGGACAGCGAGGGGGGCCGAGGCGGGGGCCCTGGGCGCCCTATCCCTCTGAACCGGGGAGGCGGCCCCGATTCCGAGAGCTGGAACGCAGGGAAAGGCAAGGACGGGGCGGCCGGTGGAGGGGCGGGCGCCGCTCATCAGCCACGCCAGTCACGTCTGGGGCCACCGGCTGCTTTTTTCTTCCTTTCCCCCCTTGCTTTCTTCCCCCTCCGCTGTTGGCGAGGGCAAAGTGGCCGTGGCGGCGCCATGCCCGGGCCGGAGTGAGTGCGCGCGGGCGAAAATGGCGTACATCCAGGTAGGGCCGACGCTGGGGGCAAGGTCCGGGGTGCGGGTAGGGGGTGCCGCGCCCCCTCCGGCTGGGAGCGCGCGGAAGAGAGGGCCGGCGGTTAGGCTCCCACAAACTTGCTTCAAGAAAAAGGGTGCCAGTGCGCGGTCAACCTGTGCAGCAACAGGGGTGCGCCCCGGGAGGAGAGACTGGGGACCCCTAAACCCCGGGATGGAGGGTCCTGTGTAGACTGCAACGCGCGCCCTTGCTTTCTGGGGAGGGAATGGGGGGTGGGGCGGACTTTTCTCCCCCCTCCCCGGCCCCCGCCCCCTCCTTCCCCTTGGCACCCCACCCCTGGGGAGGGGCCGCGGGAGGGCGGCCCGGGGCGCGCCGGCCGCCCGGGCCGCCAGCTGCCGTTGCCGTGGTGACGGCTCCGGCTAATTGGCCGGCGGAGCAAGCCTGAGGCGGCTGTTACGACCAAGAGGGACAAGGACGTCGTCTCTCCCGGGCACTGGGTGCTGAGGGGTGGGGGACACCTGGAGGCCAGAGGCGCGCTGGTGAAGAGAAAGGAGGCTGCTACTTTAGTCCGCTGCATTGGTGTCTGAGAGATGTGGACCCTCTTAACCTTGAAGAAACGTCCCCCACGAATCCTTGGGCTGAAATAATTTCTAAGGGGGAGGGGGCGAAGGGGTGGACCGGGCTTCTTGATGAAAAGACCTTTCTCCTCTGCAAGAAGGGAAGTGATCGCAGGTCAGCGCCAAGGTCAAGCAGGCAGACCCGCAGTGAGACCCGTTGAGCTGTTTGCTTCTGGGGCTAGCGCTTCTGAGCTTGGCAGAGAAGCTTAAAGACTCCCACGTCCAGGGTGCGTTTCGGCTCACATCTTGTCCCCTCAGCCACAGATGGGGGTGCTGATGGTCCCCCCATTCCCTTCTGGCTCACATATCCCCTCAATCGTGTCTTCAGACACTTAAGCCTGCCAGGAAACTCCGTGCCGTGTCACCTGGGGGAGCCTCTTCCATTTCTCTCCTGCTTTAGATTCCCTGGATTGGCTTATTTCCTGAAATTGACAGTTTCTCTTTTCAAGTTCAATGAAGGTCACATTACTGTCCACCCACTGTGTGCTGTGTGTTGTCCAGGGGCCATTCAATAGTCACCCAACAGACACCTGCGTCACTGCCTACTAAGTGCTGGCACTGAGGATACAGTGATGAAAACAGCACAGTCCCTGCCCCTCTGCACAATTTAGTGAGAAATGAAAGTGATTACCGGCTCCTGGGTTTCTTAATGGCTGCCTTCAGCACAGAGAAATTAAGTGATTTGCCCAAGGCCACACAGCTGCTTTGAGGTCAAGGTGGGATCTCAAGAGGGGATGGCGGTTGATAGGTTAAGCATTTCATATGACGATGATCCAATGATGTTGGTTTTTCTTTTAGAACAAGGTGTTAACTTTTCTTCCTGTAAAGTGCCAGATAGTATTTTTTTTTTTTATTCCCTTGGAGGCTCACATGGTCTCTGTCACAACTATTCCACTCTGACTATAGCACCAAAGCAGTTATAGACAGTAGTAAATGAGTGGGCGTGGCTGTGTTCCAATAAAACTTTATTTGCAGGCACCAAAATGTGAATTTTGTATACTTTGCACGAGTCAAGAGGCATGCATCTTCTTTTTTTTTTTTTTGAGATGGAATTTAGCTCTTGTTACCCAGGCTGGAGTGATCTCGGCTCACCGCAACCTCCGCCTCCTGGGTTCAGGCAATTCTCCTGCCTCAGCCTCCTGAGTAGCTGGGATTACAGGCACGCGCCACCATGTCCAGCTAATTTTTTGTATTTTTAGTAGAGACAGGGTTTCATCATGTTGCCCAGGATGGTCTTGATCTCTTGACCTCGTGATCTACCCTGCTCGGCCTCCCAAAGTGCTGGGATTACAGGCGTGAGCCACCGCGCCTGGCGCATCTTCTTTTTAGTTCTCAACCATTTAAAAATGTACAAATCATTCTTAAAGCTCAAGGGCAGTAGCAAAACAGGCTGCAGGGCTAGTTTTGACCTGCAAACCTTAGTTTGCCAACCTCTGTTTAGAATGGATGGGTTCTCTTTCTTCCTCTTTCTTTCTGGTGTGAATTAGTTCTCTTCCACTGGTGTCAAACACATGAACCCAGGAGACCCAACGCTAGAAATACTCAGCATGCAGCATGCCTGGGAACATCAGGGCACTTTCTTTTACCTTCTTTGGTTTCTCTCTGTTCCTTGACATTCATCTTGTACCCGGGCTTTGAGAAAGCTGGGGAGGCTGTTTTTCAGCAGGGATATGAGGTGGCCTCGTCTCTGTTCACTTGGTTTCATAAATGGCCTCTTTTGACCACCACATGTCTAGGAAACACTTTCCTATATTCAGAAAATGGTCATGGATTATTATGAAAAAGTATCACTTTATCCTAAACATTGTAAAACACTTTTTCATGTAAGCCCTATGAGGGCATAATATTTTGCTGTTTTGTGCCCTGCTGTACCTTCTGGGACAATACCTGGTGCCTGCTGGGTTCCATTAGGTCTTGACAGTCACCTAATTATAGTCACAGACAGGGTGCATTTTGTTTTTCAGCTGGACAGCAAGCATTTGCATGGTCAGTGTCCTGTCCTACCTCAACAGCACCCCTTTGAGGTATAGAGTAGCTTTTCCATGAAAGAAGAGGTAACCAATGCTCAGAGAGGCCCCTACTTGCTCAAGTCACATGATCAGTTGATGGTGAGACTAGGACTCTAGAACCTCTTGACTCAGCTTGTTGTGTGGCCCCTTAGCACCTTTGGGTCTTGTTCTGTGTATGGTTTTGGCTTTAGAGACATTTGTGATGAATGCCTTTAGACTATTTCCCAAGCTGTTATTCCCTTACTACTTCAAGGATTTTGAATTTCTCACAAGCCATGTGCCACCTGTACTATTATTATTATTATTATTTTAGATGGAGTCTCACTCTTGCCTAGGCTGGAATGCAGTGGCGCGATCTTGGCTCACTGCAACTTCCTGGTTCAAGCAATTCTCCTGCCTCAACCTCCCCAGCAGCTGAGATTACAGGCATCTGCCACCACACCTGGCTAATATTTTGTATTTTTAAAAGAGACATGGTTTCACCATGTGGCCCAGGCTGGTCTCGAACTCCTGACCTCAAGTGATCCAGCCACCTTGGCCTCCCAAAATACTGGGATTACAAGTATGAGCCACTGCGCCCAGCCCTACCTATGCTATTATTAACTTTTTTCCTATAAATGGGCTCACTTTTATTTTTACTTAAAAAAAAATGGTATGAAAAGGAAACATGTCATGACTCTCATAGGAAATCCAGATCATGTGACATAGGCAGAAGGCAACTAGAAGAATAAGCATAATGGGAATGATGCCACATTGCTGAATTCTAGGTGGATGGGGCTATCTTCAAGGCTCTGAGCTAGATCAACTTCGTTTGTTTAAAAGGAAGGGGTTGGGGGAGGGTAGGAATTGGTAAGTGGTAAAAATACAATGGTACCAAATTGAGACTTTCTCCTCCTTGAAGGAGAATGGGGTGGGGGTGGGGGGAAGATAATAACTTTCTCCCCATTGATTCAAAGTTCTGAGTTTGAGTCCTGCCTCAGTTCACCTCTGGGACATGCCCGAGGTTGGGGTGCAGGACTTCTATCTAGTCCACTTGGCCCATTTGGAAAACCATCTTAAAGAGAAGGAGGGAGTTTGTGCTTTGAGAACCCAGGAGACGAAGATGGGGAGGCAGGGTGGGAGCACAAGAGGAGAGGGAGGGCCTCACAATAGAAGAGGAAGGGAGGGCCTCCCTCCTCAAGAGGACCAGATTAGGGCTTCCTTTTCAGTTCCCTCTGTTTGTGGGTGGTGATAGGAAACACCCCACTATCACCATTGGAGCAGAATTGGAAGGTAGGGCCTCCTGGAGGGCGGGGGACCCAAGTACCATCCACTGTGTGCCTGCCTGCATGTTAGCTAATCATGTCCTTTCGGGTTGGCTACATGGCTATTTCTGTATAGGAAGGTTTGCTCTTCTCCTGAAGTGTGGCTGTATTGGATAGCATGACTATCTATCTGCCCGCTCTGATTCATAACAGCATACGGTGCAAATCAGATCGAAATGCTAGAGTTTCTCATTTATTTGGTGTTGGTTAACCGGGAGGCTACCAGCAGCCCTGAAAATAGCAACACCTTGTTAGGAAGTCAGCTTCCTTCCCAGGATGGTAAGTGGAAATATGCAGGGCTTTTTTTTTTTTTTTTTGTAAATTTTTTTGAGTTGCTGGAATATTGCTAAACTGGTCTTGTCTCTCTTTCTTTAACCCCTTCATTCCCTTACGCCCTTGGCTTCATCGTGGATCTTAAAAGGGCAGTTGGAACCATTAAACGAGGTGGGTTCATGTGATGATTTGTTTGGTCTGGTTTCTAATCAAGAAATGCCTGACTTTCATTTTGGAGTCTTATGTGGGGCTGTGGGGATATTGAATATTCTACAGTAACCTGGTTGGTGTTCATAACAGCTCAGTTTCCATTCCTTTTACCGAAAGGAGATCCCGGTTTTGAAAAGACACCAGTTGACAAAACAAGTTTCCCTCTCCACCCCTACTTATTCCGTTTGATTATCTCTGTCTGTTTCATGTCACCGAGATTATTTTTAAAAAATTTTTTTCCCGGCTTTTCAGAAGACAGAGTAATATGCATTCTGTTTCAAGAACATATTGTATAGCCTCATGATGTCGTATAAACCACCCACATGTCAAGAAAGACGTTCACATAAACTACAAAAGAAAATACCTGCAAATGTTTCACTTGCTACTAATGGCCCCAGCAAGTTGATGTTTGCTATCTTTGTGCCTGCAGTTGGTAAATAGAAATGGAAAACATTTTGTTCTAAGTGCTGAGCAGCAGAACCAGAACCCTTGAATGTCTTTTTCTCATCCAAGATCGGCTGCTTGTAATTTTGGGTGTTGTTTCTCCTTCTCCTCTTCCTCACCCTGCCAACCTCCCTTCTCCCCTTGCCCCCCGCCCCCTCCCTCCTCCCCCCTCCCCCAATGGCCTCAGGGTTTTCTTTCTAGAATCTCTGATCTGCTGCTGTGCAGATGGACCTGCCGGCACTGCTGTCAGAAGTGCTACGAGTCCAGCTGTTGCCAGTCGAGTGAGGATGAAGTTGAAATTCTGGGACCTTTCCCTGCTCAGACCCCTCCCTGGCTGTAAGTAAAACTGCTCTGAACTTCTCTGAAATCAATTTCAAGACTTTTCCCTTTTTCTGAGAAGGGGGCTGGGGGCCTGGGCCATGGGAGGGAGGATCTGGGGGGCATGAAAGAGCAGCAGGCTGAGTTTCCATGGACATCTTTGCTACAGACTGGGGATATGTTCTGTACCCCTCATTTTGTTCAGCAAGCCGGCGAGACCAGCTGGTGGTGTGGTTTTAGTTCACCTAGTGGCACATTGGGCCTTTGGAGATATGAACTGTGTAATGCTAAGCGTGTGGGACGTTTTAGTCATGTGGAATGTTGTTCTGAGCAGAGAAGGAGGTCTGTGAGTCTCTGTATTCTTCAAGGGCTAACCACATTCTGAGGTTTCCATCCAAGTCAGCGTGACAAGATTTCCTGGCATCCAGTCCAGGGCCTGCACATAGTAAAAGCTCGGTAAATATCCATTGCATGGATGGGTAGACGGAATAAAGAAACAAGTGCTTTTTTGCTGCTCTGAACAAGAACTTCAGAAACAGGGAAGCAGAAAAGCACCTCCGGGCTCCATCCTGTCCTCCAACGCTGTTTATGTTCTCTCTGGCATCTTTCATTTTATTTCTAATTCGCTCTCCTCCCGCGCCTGCATACAACATCTCCATCTGCCAGTCGCTCAGATATTTTGGGAACGCAGTTTTGAAGCTTCTCAGCCACGTGTCTGGTCCACCTCTCCGTGACTGAGAGAGGGAAGTGGTCAGAGAGCCTGGGTACAGTCAAGAAGGTCGGGGCTGAGAAGGGTCAGGAAGACATCAAGTGAGCTCCTCATGACTCGGAGGGGCAGGCCCAGGAGGGAGAGACAGCAGCCAGGACCCACAGCTGGAGCCTGGCAGGGTGGAAGGAGACAGTGCTGTCTTAGCTCAGTCCGTGGCCTGAGATTCCAAAAGTCTCTGGTGCCCTGTCTTTCTCTTCAGGTTGGGGCTCATGCCTCAGGCCTCTCATTTTTTCTTCTTAGAAGCAAGTATCAAATATTTTCACAGCAAAATGGCTCCGTATCCAGGCTGTGTAATCTTCACTACTATTTCTAGTTCTGTGACCTTGAGCAAATTGATCTCTCTGTGCCTTGATGTCCCATCTATAAAATGCGATGCTAAAAAGAATGGTATTTCTTTTTTTTTTTTTTTTTTTTTTTTTGAGACGGAGTTTCGCTCTTGTTACCCAGGCTGGAGTGCAATGGCGTGATCTCGGCTCACTGCAACCTCCGCCTCCTGGGTTCAGGCAATTCTCCTGCCTCAGCCTCCTGAGTAGCTGGAATTACAGGCACGCACCACCGTGCCCAGCTAATTTTTTGTATTTTTAGTAGAGACGGGGTTTCACCATGTTGACCAGGATGGTCTCGATCTCTTGACCTCGTGATCCACCCGCCTCGGCCTCCCAGAGCGCTGGGATTACAGGCTTGAGCCACCGTGCCTGGCTGCAAAAAGAATAGTATTTCGATCAGAGTTGTGGTAGGGAGTCAATGAATCTGGAATGTGGAAAAGTAGTTGGGAATGCTTGATACCTTGTCGGCGATTATAAATGTAAGTAATTCTGGCTGGGCGCAGTGGCTCATGGCTGTTATCTCAGCAGTTTGGGAGGCAGAGGGGGCCGGATCACTTACATCGTGAGACCCCTCCGCCACCCCAAGCTCACCAAAGTGTCGAAAAATTAGCCAAGTATGGTGATGAGTGCCTGTGGTTCCAGCTACTCTGGAGGCTGAGGTGGGAGGATTGCTTGAGCCTGGGAGATGGAGGCTGCAGTGAGCCGTGATTGCACCACTGCACTCCAGCTTGGGCAAGAGTGAGACCCTGTCTCAAAAAAACAAACAAAAAAAAAGTAAATGAGATATGCATATAATATGCTTAGCACAGAGTAAATGTTTTATAAGTATTTCTGTTAGTATTAGATATCAATAGAGATTAATTAAACTGATATAAACACAATGTTAAGGAACTCTTCCATTATTCATTATTCATAAGTTGTGGCCTGACTCCTACAGGTGTGTGTAGAGTTGAGATTTTTAGTGAGCAACTCATTAATCAAGACATAATACATAGCCAGGTGCTGTGGCTAACGTCTGTAATCCCAGTGCTTTGAAAGGCTGAGGCAGGGTGACTGCTTGGGGCCAGGAGTTTGAGACCAGCTTGGGCAACACAGTGAGACCCCTATCTCTACAAAAAATTTAAAAATTAGCTGGGCATGTTGGTGCCTAAAGTTCCAGCTATTCAGGAGGATCGCTTAAGCCCAGGACGTCAGGGCTGCAGTGAGCTATAATATACCACTGCACTCCAGCTTGAGCAATAGAGCAAGACTTGCTTTTTTAATTTTTGTTAAAAAAAAAAAAAAGGATTCCACTGGTCTATGTAGCAGAAGTTAGTTCAGTCCATCTAATGTCTTTAAAGCTATGCTCACAAGAATGCCAGCTCCACATGGGCAGGGATTTTTGCCTGTCTTGTTCACTCAGAAATAAGTTATTGATGACAGACTATCCTACCGGCAGAGCTTGAATCCTAAAAGTGCCAGTCATCCAGTTGAAAGGTTAATCTTGGTCCCTTTTGTAGTTATTTCTCAAGTACACAGTGTGCCAAGCGCTGTGGTATACACAGGGCTAGATAGGATCCTGTGACTGTGCTCAGGGAATTTTCAATCTCATGTAGGAGGTAAGGCAGGTATGTAAGTGAGGTTGCCCCCTAGAGTTGTAGATTTACACCCTGCATACCACATATGACAGTTCTGCATAAGGTCTTGTTGTGAAAGAAATCAGGAATGATGACTTCAGGCACAGCTGGATCCAGGAGCAGAAATGATGTCATCAGAGCCTTTCTCGCTCTTTCTCTCTCTGGTTCTTCTGTATAGGCCTCATTCTTAAGCTTGTTTTCCCCATGCGGCAGCACTAGACTTGCATTCAGTTGCCATTGTATAAAAAACAAACAAACAAAACAAAACCAGGAAAGACTCCCATTAGCCTGGCTTGGGAGTACTGGTCACTTTCACTTGGAGGAAATGGTGCTAGAATCATGCCAGTTACCTGCCCACCCAGGAAACCAGGAAAATGGTCATTAACACCTGAAACACATGAACTAAACTACTAGACCAGGGGTTGGCAAACTTTTAACATAAAGGACCAAATAGTAAATATATTAGCTTCGGGGGCCAATATGGTCTCTGTTGCAGCTATTTATTTCTACCATTGCTGTGCAAAAGCAGCTGTAGACAGTAAATGAATGGGCATGCCTGTGTTCCAGTAACACCTCATTTACAAAATCAGGTAGTAAATTTGGCTCTGCAGTTTGCAGACCCCTGTAATAGACAACTGGGGTGTCACAATTGGGTATCTCCCCAGTAGAGAGGAGGGAATGGACTACAGAGGTGGGCAGAGACCACCCCTGGACGCTACGTCTGGGAAGAGCTGGGGGAGTCATGGAAAATGAGCCTGCAAGCTCAGGTTGAATTGTGTCTTGAATGCCGGAATGAGGAATCTGGATTTTCCTCTGTACCAGTAGAGACCCTTCATAGGTATTGAAAATTGCAGGCAGGTACCTGTTTGCCCCCCAGATATCCAGATGTTGAGATGCACAGCCTAGGTTTTGATGCTGAGTTGGAGGACAGTTGCGTTTTGCCTTGACTCCTGCTGACCCTTTGTGTAAGCAGGGGCAAGAGGGCTGGGACCATCTGGGCAGACACTTTTTTTGGTTTTGTCGCTAGTAGAGAAGCGGACTGTAACTTTCCCAGCAGGGCCAATATACCACACAACTCCAGTGGGCACCGTTCACCTGGTGGCCATTATGAATGGCACCACCTAGGGCTATGCAGTCTGTAGCCTGAACAGCTGTACGTGACCTTCATGCTTCCCAGGATGAATGTGGTCTCTTCTGAACCCTGGGCAGTGCTTAACACATTTTTGGCACTCAGCATAATGCAAAATGGTAAGAGAAATCTGTACAGGGAAGATGGGCTAAATCATTCAAAAAGCAAACTTACAGCTTGTGTTTCCCCCAGATTCATTTACCAAGTGGCCAGCTGCATGTTATCAAACAGACAGGAAGTAGAAATGTCAAGTGTTTGGGCTTTGCAGTGCTGTTCCTACTGTGGCATTTGAGCCACGAATCATGGGACTTGCCTCTGTGGACTGGCACGTGGCAGATGAGTGGCCCTTTGTGTGTGCTGTGCATGCGATCTTGGGCATACAACATTAATTGTCACATGTGTTCATGTCCTGTGGGCCCCCAACTTTTCTTGGCTGGGCTGGGAAAATTGTAGAGTCTGGTGCGTTTGAAGCAATGCCAGAAAGACCCTCATTGAAGAGTGAATTAAAGTCAAGTTGGTGGGTTGGTTGTCGAACAAGCATGTGTTGAATACCTACAATGCACAGGGCTTTTACAGGTCTCTCAGAGATGCCCACATGTAGGTAGGGAGTGTGCCATTTAGAGTTTAGCATGACTGGCTCGGTTGTGGTTCTACCATTTAACAGTGGTGCAAATTATTCATCCTTCCCCCAACCTGTATTAGTTTGTTTTGTGTGGCTGTAGAGGGATACTCAAGACTGAGTAATTAGCAAGGAAAAGAGATTTATTTGGCTCTTGGTTCTGTAGGCTGACCAAGCATAGCTTCTGCTCCTGGTGAGGGCCTCAGGAAACTTACATTCATGGCGGAAGGTGAAGGAGGGAGCAGGCATCATATGGTGAGAGTGGGAGCAAGGGGAGAGGAGGTGCCCTACCAGCAGATCTCATGGAAACTCGTACAGTGAGAACGCACTCATTATTTTGAGGACAGCACCAAGCCATTCATGACAGATCTGCCCCCGTGATCTAATCACTTCCCACCAGGCCCCATCTCCAACATCGGGGTCACATTTTCAACATGAAATTTGGAGGAGAAAAACATCCAAACCGTAGCGGGGCTTCTCTGAGGAGGCGCCGTTGAAGCGGAGACCTCAATTACGGGAAGGAATTAGATAGGCAGAGGGAAGAGAAAGAGCATTCTTT